GAAGTTTTTCAGTGTTTTAACACTGACACCATTCCTCATGAGAAGTCTTCCAAACATGTATTGGTAGCTTTATTTCTCATTGAATTTCCCCATATTACAACCCTAAGCAGTATTTTACCATATTTTCCATATTATACAAGTGCCCCCATTCTACATCAAATGTAACAGTTTACTTCAAAATTATATCAGGACCTTCATTCCTCATCCATGTTTCCTAGTACAATAGAATGCCTCACTTATTATAAAAGTTTATCAATATGATATGACTGCTCCTATTCCTCATTGGAACTTTCCTATTATAGCACCAGTGCCTTAACAGATTTACCAATCAATCCTATCAGATTTACCAATATGATATCATTACCTTGTCTCCATAAGATGCTTTCCAATACTATACCATTGCTCCCACATGTCATAAAAAATGTCCCAATGCTACATTCTTGTCAACATTTCTTATCAGAACATTCTGAATATTATAGCATGCCTGTGTTCCACTATCTACAAAAGTTGCTCAGTATTGTATTTTCCCTAACTCTTCTTTAGATAGTTCTTATTATTCCAGTTCCCAATACTCATATTTACTTGTGTCATTACAGTGTTGCCTTTTCTTACCAGCATTTACTATACTAGTGTCACTTCTGCTCTTCAAAGTATATCTTTATTATTTCAAAGTTCATTTATCTTCAGAAATTACCCCATATTATAGCCTGTTTCCCTTTCTCATTAGAGATTTCTACTCACATTAGATGGTTCACAGTTTTACTTCCCTGTCCTCATATTTATATAATATTTTTTAATATTATTCTTATACAACTCTTCCATATTATATAATTGCTCCCATTTCTCTTTCAATGTTTCTCAGTATTATAGCGCCACTCATTCTTCTTTAGAATTACTCCATATTATATCACTACTCCATCTGTAAGCACACCTTTGTCCATATCATACAAGTGCCTCCTTCCTCATAAGAATTTTACCATTATAATCCTAGTGCTTCTTTTATTTATCCTCATAATATGCCAGCACCTTAGTTCTATGTAAAATGATTACAAATGCCTTAATCGGTCAGAGAAATTTTCTATTTTTGCACCCTTGCCATTATTCCTCATTTATCTTCTTCTTTATATGATACCAATGCCCCTATTTCTCTAGAAAAGTTTCTCTATATTAGACCTTTGTTCTATTTTCTTATCAGAAAATGTCCCACTTATACCAGTGGACACTCACTTTTGCAGAGACTCTCACAATCTGCCCTGTCCCATCACCATCTTACCTGATGTCCCTCCCACATCCTTAAAATAAAAATAAATTTTTAAAAAAGAGAGAGAACCTGTAAAATGGGAGAGAATGTTTTAAAACCATTCATCTGACAAAGGCTAATATCAGGAATATAAAAGAAACAGAAACAATGGAACAACAAAAATGACAAACAATTCCATTAAAAAGTGAGCAAAAGACATGAATAGTCATTTCTCAAAAGATGACTTACAAATGGTCAACAGACATATGAAAAATATGCTCAACATTACTAACCATCAGAGAAATGCACATTAAAACTACCATGAGTTATCATCCTATCTCAATCAGAATGACTATTATTATAAAGGCAAAACATAAATGTTGGCAAAGATGGATCCATCATGAATAGGGCTAGTACACTTAAGAGGTAAGAGAGTTAGTTTGCTCTCTTTTTACCATATGAGAATCCAATGAGAAATTGATGACTTGTAACCTGGAAGAAAACCCTCATCAGAATCAAACCAGGTAGGCACCTTGATTCATTCTTCTACTCTTCAATCCATAATGAATATTTTTTGTTTAATAGGTCACATACAGTCTACAGCATTTTTCTATAGCAGTTACACTGACACCCTCAAAATAATTCATTCTATGAATACAACTCTTTTTTATTTGACCTCATGCTTATTTCTCTGTATCAATTGGTTTACAATTTCTGCTGAGGCTCCTATCATATACAGCTTTTTGGATCATGCATGAGCAGACAGCATGATTTTCCATATGATAACCAAAGGATCTTGTTTTAACATGCCTTACACATGTCAATCAGATTTCTCAATCTAATTTCTTCTTATTCAAACATTTCAGTTTCAGAAAAGTTTATGTAATTCTCACTTATGAACACCAAATACCAACTATGTTTTAAAATCTAAGTTTCCTAGAGTTTGACTGGGACTGTGTCTATCATCTAATGTACAGCATGAGTGGTGATGGATGTGTTAATTAATTTAATTGTGGTAATCATTGCATATTGCCTATGCATATTAAAGCATCATGCTGCACACCTTGAATATACTAAATCTTTATTTGTCAATTAAATATCTTAAATACATATAAAAATCTAAAATTTAAAAAGAACTTGTTAAATATTACTCTTATTATAATAATTTTTTATTATAAAGATGTGGAGTACAATTCAGGGTTAGATATATAAACATTGATTATGTAGGTACCCTTGTTGATGAGGTATGACCCTCCCTCCTCTAGCAGTTTCCCTCAACTGCCAATCCCATCCCTCCCGACAGTTTCCTACTACTACCAATCCCTTTCTTATAGTATTATAATTGTTCAAGGTTCACTTATGAATGCATGTTGTCCATCGAAGCTGGACTGGATACTCATAATTTTTAAGAAGAGAAAAATGGCAGTAACTGTCATCATTTGAAATGTAGTGGAGGTACAGAAATTCTATTTAGAAAGTCATAGAGGAACATCTGTTTATTAAAACAGTGTAAAATATTAAACTTTCACATACTTGAGATAACATGTTGCAGACAAAGAAATGGAATTCAAAAGATACATGCACATACTCACTGGGATTAGAAAGTTAACTTTTCCTCATTTGAGCACTCCTAATTATTTTGTATCTGCCATTCTTTCTATCTCATGTAATATCTGTGAAGCTAACAAGATTCCCTAGAGACTGGGACCTCATGCTTGTTAGTATCTTGAAATACAGAGACTTGTTACTTGTCGTGAACCCTGTGTAACACACAAGGACTTATTTTTTAACATCCTCTTATCTCAGTCACCTACCTGTTCTCCAGAAAAGGCAACAGCAAAGGCATTTCAAGTGTCAGGCAGAGGTAAAGGGAATCCAGGCATCTTCAACTCTGATGAGAGCCCGGGAAGAATCTTGTCTTCAATGCAGTTTCTGAAGAGACTGGTGAAATCATGCTATCATGACAATTCAGAATAATGAAAAATGGGTGAATTTGACTGATTTAAATTTTAAAAAAAATAAATCTTAATGTTTTGTTTTGTATTTTTTTGATTCCTTCTCTTGAAGACTAATGTTTTCATCATTTTTGGAATATGGCTTTTATTAGTACTCAGGAAAGATTGCAATCTCTTAATGACAATTTCTTTCCAATTGGACAAGTTCTTCTGAGTCATCTGCCTTTCATAAGGGTGAGACCACTTACTGTTCTTAGTGTTTCTTAGAAAGTGACCCTGCCTTTTTTCTGACTAAGTGCCCACAAGTATTAAAGAATGATGTTACCAAAATGGTCACAATAATAATGCAGTTATTTTGCTGTGGTTCTTGGTTTTGATTAGTGTGAGTTTTTGATAATCAGGAAAACCTGTGGGCTAAGATGGTGAATCAAAACCATCTTCTATTCACATAAATTCTAGCCCCATTGCTAACTGGTTATTTATACTTGGCAAATGATTATAAATTTTGTATCACACATTTTCATTGCAGAATGGGAATAAAAGTGGAATTCATCACATATCATTATTGTGTAAATTTAATGAGCTAATTCAAATAAGGCATTTATAACAGTATCAGACACATAGCAAATGTGTAATAAATCTTACATATGCTGTTATACCATTAGCACTGTTGTTATTACATTTAAAATGGAATGATCTCCCAAGACTTTATCTCATTCTGCATTCATTACATATTGGGCTGTAACTTTTCTGCAATTAAAGTCACATGATTTGGAGGAACCAAGAGGGCATATACAGCATGGGTTGAGTGTGTGCTGGTACAAAACCTGGCCCAAGTATATACATTTTTTAGGAGAAAGGATAATGGGTATGTTAGAAAAATTAATTTTTTGATATTATTTGGAAGAAACTAAATAACCTTTTATTTGAGGTAAAAAAAAGTTAGCATTTCTGCCTGAGGAATGACTCTTCAAATTGCAAAGTGGTAAAGAGTAAAATAAGTGAGAGTAATCACTTACCCATATTAAAAGCCTATAATGTTTGCCTTTATTTAGTGGAAAGTGGATCTGAATTGAGTCTAAGTTAATATGCACATTTATTTTCCTCTAATACTCAAAGCATATACAGCATAACCCTATATAAACACATGTATATACTCAAGGATCCTCTCATTTCTGCAGTGTAAAAACAAAGATGGTCAGAATGTAGGAATGCAGGTCAGATTCCTGAGCTCCACGTCCATCTCTGCCTCTTGCTCACCTTGAGGATTGAACAAACTCACTAAAGTTCATTGACTCCATAGAAGACTGCTTCAAATGAATATTTCCTATTTTGCTGTCATAATAATCCTGGAGGATTCTGAGAAAGTCTATCATGATCTCCCATACTACAAATATGCAATGATACTGCTTAAACAAAAATCAATTCCTCCTGTTAGAAATGCGCACTGTTCATGTTAGCAAAGATTATATGACAGCTTTATAAAGTAATTGATTCCTTATTGGTGTATATGTGCATCCCTATGTGTGTGTGCACGTTTGTGTTTTTGTATTTATGGTCACTTTCAGAATTTGAATAGGATTTTGAAATATAATGTGTGAAAGCATTTATCAAACTTCAGTATGAATGTAATGGAGGTTTTCAAAAAAAGACAATTCAGTTCAAGCAGTTACAGAATACATTCTGCTTAACAGCATTTGATGATGCTAAAGAATTCGTGTGTCTTTGTTATTCCATCATGATTCTATGTCCTCAAAGTACATTTCTTCTTCTGCCCACATCAATGGTTTGATGCCGGCCCCAAGATGGTTCAGGAAAATTCAAGCACCATCACCGAGCTTGTCCTTCTCGGATTTTCCAATCACCCACAGGCTGAGACCCCTCTTTTCTTCCTCTTCTCACTGGTTTACCTGGTGAATCTCTTGGGAAACACAGCAGTTATCATTTTGGTGCTAATTGACTCCAGTCTCCAGACTCCCATGTATTTTTTCCTCTGTCACTTGGCCTTTCTCAACATATTTTACACCACGACTGTGGTCCCCAAAATGCTCTTCAACCTACTTGCCTCCAGAAAAGTCATCTCTTATGACTTCTGCCTTGTCCAGACCTACATCTCCCTGTTCATGGGAGCAGCTGAGTGCATTATTTTGGCGATCATGGCTCTGGACCGTTACGTAGCCATTTGTTACGCTCTACGCTACCTGCTCATCATGAACTGGTCTGCCTGTGTGCAGCTGGCTGTGGGGGCCTGGACCATCAGCTTCTTTGCCTCAGTGGTACCACTCTACTTCACCACAGCTCCCTTCTGTGGCCCTTTTGTTATTGATCATATTTTTTGTGAAGTCCCGATTCTTCTTCACATGGTGTGCGGTGATACATCACTGCAGGAGACCATGATGCTGATAGGCGCATGTGGCACCCTCCTTCTCCCCTTCCTCCTCATTGTCCTCTCCTACCTACACATACTAGTCGCTGTGATGAGGATGAACTCAGCTGACGGTAGGAAAAAAGCTTTCTCTACCTGCAGCTCTCACCTGACTGTGGTAACCATTTATTATGGAACAGGGTTGTTCATGTACATGAGACCCAAATCTCTGTATTCAGCTGAAGGGGATAAATGGATTTCCTTGTTCTATGCAGCCATCAATCCTGCTCTAAATCCTCTAATTTATAGCCTGAGAAACAAGGAGGTGAAAAGAGCCTTGAAGAGAGTTTTAGAGAGATGGACAATGCCCCAAAGTCAGAAGATGCTATCTTGAGATGCTAGTCATTAGAATTCACTTATTTTAATATCATCTTTAAGACCAGGGACACATTTTAGTCATATAGTTAACTTAATTAGCTGCAAATACATGTAGCTCAATGTCAAAATTATTACAAATATATTGGGTCATTCTTCTCTGACAGAGCTCCCTGTGACCCTCCTCTTCATGACTATTAAATTACACCCTAGGGATTGAATATTTTTACATTTTATGAATTTAATCCCCGCAACAAGCAAGTTTCATTTAATTATAAAATTGCAATAGAAATTTCAAGGTACATTTTCTGACTCCATAATTTCACATGCCTGTCATAGTTCATTATTCACTGCCCATATATATTTAGGCTCTTATTTTTTCTTTATTGATGAAATGTCATAACATCTTTTTTAGTAGCCCTACATTCAATCTATGTCTACTTTGAAGCACCTGTTTTACTAATGGCAAAAACTAATAATATAACATAGCAAATATAATTATCTATTATTATATCATTATTAACAGTAAATATAATCAAACTCAACAAGTAATTAGGTTTCAGAGAGAAAGGCTTCATGACTCTCGATTTCTGAGTCTTTTATGGATATTATAAAACATGATTCAGCTCTCCATCTCTAAGCTTATAAATCCTGAAATCCTGATACTTTTGTCAAATACAGTGTTTTCCAAATATTACTATACTCTCTGGAATCTGTGAAATTGCTCAGCCAATGCCTTCCTCAGGCATGAGCTGGATACATGTATCACAAGTCACAACTCTACTGTCAATTTCTTTATGAAATCTTTTCCCTGAAAACACTCTTTTTACCTTGTTGTGAATGCTACTTCTTTGGTGTAGGGCTTTTATTTTTTGTAGCTTGTTTCATGGCATGTTTTGTTTTAATTTCCCACGTGTTTTGACAACCATGAAATCTATTTGGACCATGGGTGGAGTATTGACTCTCCCCAGAAACCTCATAATTTAGCCTAGGAGAAAGTGTGTGTGATGACTTCTTCCTGCAGTGCAGGGGAATAAAAACCGAGAGAAATGTTGTCCCATCAGGGAAGCCTTATTTCTAAAGATTACTTAAGTTGAGTCATAAAGAATGAGGAATATCCATAAGGTGAGCATGTCAAAAAATAAAATTCAAATAGAGGTGCACACTGAGGGGGATAAAAGCACCCCAAATTGATTGAAAATAGTTCAATGTGTCTTGGATAAAAACCACACTGTCTTCAAGGCTTATCTGTTTTTTATTTTTGTTCTCACAAATGAAACAGGTTCTTAGCTTTTTTCCCCTAATATCAAGCTCCTTGTAAAACTTTTGTTTTTTTTTAATTAAATTGAATTATTTTCACACTAATTTAACTATAAACAAATTGTTTCTCTTGTTTTTGCTATTTTTCAATGATATAATTCATAATTTCATATAATGTTTATCTTTATTTACCCCAAATTGCTGTTTTTTATTTTTTTTAAGCGTGGTTAGTGTGGTGCTTTTTGGTAAACAACACAGTTCAAAGCTAGAGCACCTGATACCATATGTGAAATTCTCTTTAGCCTAATTTTCTGCATATGTAGTATTTTTAAAAAGAAAATATTTAACATAAAATTATCAACATGGTTACAAGGATGGATTTCTCTGCAAAAATTTATAAAAATTTTTAGAAAATGAAATTCTAGTCCCAAGACTCTGAATTCTTAAAGTATTTGTTTTATTTTTAAAACCAATAAAGAATGTATATTTTTGTCATCATCTACAGTATCATTATAAATTGTTCTTACTCTAATACTATTGAAATGTAATTATGAGAAACTATTTTTATGTGGTTGTGGGGTTTTTTGTTTGGCAATGCACTGGTTATTGGTAACCTCTGCCTGTTCTCATGATCTCTTCATGGTGCAAAATCTGGCTCCATGGGATACATCCAGCAAATAACCAGTCAATGACTTGAAATAACACACACTGTTCTGTGGATCATCTCTTTCACTTTGGGAAGAGCTCCTGGGAATTCATTACTAGAACTCTAACTTTTAACAAGCTAGTTCTCCTCTGGGAGCAAATACTAATAACAGGGTGAGGTTTGTGTGGGGGTGCAAAAGTTCATTTTTCTGAGACTCAATACATGGTTGGTCAAAAACTATGTCTAAAGGTTTAGAGACATATCAGGAGTGACTTTCCATAAAACGAATCCTGGAACATTTTAATAGCCTCCAATACATGCACTCATGCTCATGCATGTGTGCACACATGTGCACACACATGCTGTTTGCTCGGCACAACACATTTTCACCACCTCTGCCCTATTCTGATGTAGTTTCCTTCTTCAGAATTTGTTCTTTCCCACTATCTTCACAAATTAAAATACTATTACTTATCATTACACTTCTAAATGGCCATGATGTCTTCCATACAAATGTAGTTCTCTCAACAATTGTTGGAATTCTTTCCTGTGTCTGGTTTTCATAGTTCTCTGTCAGAGATTCTTTTATGGCTTACACTTTTTAGTCCTTGCATGGTAAATATATTAAGCAATTCTGAACAGTAAGATGAATTGGCCATCATCATAAATGACTAATAATGTTTTAAAATATAATTGGGCATATAGAATATGTGTTTATAATGTAAGAAAAAAGAAAAAAGCAGAGAATAAAATTGTATGTAATGACTAATGCTAAAATTATCATGCAGCCAGGCTCGGTGGCTCAACCTGTAATCCTGCGCTTTGGGAGGCTGAGGTGAGTGGATTGTTTGAGCCCGTGGGTTTGAGACCCACCTGGGCAACTTGGCGAGACCTCATCTCTACAATAAATTAAAAAAAAAAAATTAGCCGGGCATGGTAGCGTGCACCTCTAGTTCCAGCTACATGGAAGGCTGAACAGAAGAATCGCCGGAGCCCAGCAGCTTGAGGCTGCAGTGGCTGGGAGCGGCCACTGCACTCCAATCTGGGTAACAGAGTGAGACTCCAACTCAAAAAAAAAATATCATGTAGTGCATACACGCAGAAATACTAATTATAATCGCCTTGAAAATAAAGTAGTTTGTATTTTCAAGTTATGAATAAACATTTTTTCAAGTTTATAGTTTATGAATCTTTGTTGTTTTCTCAAATTAAGGATTTAAAGAGATACCTTAGTTTCAAGTCGTGCAAGATTTGTGTGGAAATTGTGTAGAAACTGATACTAAGCATTATCGCAGTGACTATTGAACACCAGGCTGGGCATTACACACAGCATTAGGAAATTTTAGGTATGGTGTTAGCACTTAAAGATCATACATTATGTTTTGACAGGCAAAAGTAGCAAATTCGAGGCTGAAACCCAAGTGACAGCCTAACTTAGTGGTTACATGATGGAGTTCTGATTTCAGATCTATGGATGTGGAGTGGGTTCATGTGCATGGAGGTCATCAGGGGCTCGCTTTCAAGAGGATGGTATTAAGTTACCCTCTGAAGAAGAGGAAAACCTGAAGAGATGTCAAAAAGATGAATGTAATTGTGAATTTTCATAATTCATGATTTCCATATGTCACTTCTAAAAACTGGAAGGATTTAGTTGTCATGAGGTGAATGAATTTGGATAGTGATGCCACTGCTGCTTGCTTCTGCCTCAAAGGAAGCCACAGAAAACAAAATCCCTCAGAGTTTTTTCCTGTTATAATTTCTCTGCTGTTTATGTACAGTATAATATTCTCCTTCTCAAATATTGCTCACTGGGAGACAATTGTGAATTATATCTGTTTATAACATTGTTTATACTATAAGCTATCAGTGAATCACTTTTCTAAATACCCTCCAGTACCTCGCCAGTGCCAATTTCAGTGTCTTTGTGGGTCAGGGCTTCATTAATCTCCAAGCTGAGTGTGAAAGTTCCGCTTATAACACTCTCCATTGGAAAGTATTATTCGTAGAGGTTTTGTTCATTTATAAGAATGTGTCAATACTAAATTTCAAATTCCCTTAATATTTGTTTAAGTAATCATTCATCTATTCATTTATTCATTTAAATCTTCATCAAATGTTTTCAACCACCTGCCATATGCCAATATGCTAAGTGCAAAATGCAGAAAATTAATAAGGTTTTTATTCTTAATAATTTCACTGGTAAGTATTCCATAAGCATAAAAACACATGAAATATAGGCTATGTGGAGATGTTTAAAATGTTTGCATATAAACTGCTATAGAGGAACAGAAATAAGATTTTCAGTCGAAGGAAACAGAAATTATGGAAACAAATAATAGACCTTGAAAACTAAATTTCATTTTAACTGTGGTGGAAGGGGAGCAACAGGCATTAGCAGACAAATAAATTATATGCACAAATGTAGCAGTATTAAAAGACAACTATATTTTTACTTGCTTGACAAGTATTCACTGTCAAAAAAGGTCTGCTAATATATTTGACACATTTTTACTCAAGAAGTAAGAAATAAAAAGAGTAAGATATAATTAGAAGACTTGATTTTGATATATTCCTGTCTGAATCTTTGTAGATAATTTTGTAAAAGCAAAAATTTTAACCTGTGGCTCAATTTTGCTATAAGTAGAATGACTAAAATAATTTCAATTCTGTTTAAATTTCATAATTTTGTAAGTGATTCACCTTTATAGTGAAAAGAGACATGGAAAAGGGAAACTGGACCATGGTGACTGAATTTATTCTTGTGAAGATACCAACCATCAGGGTTTTGGGGGGGTCTCCTCTTTATGATATTTTTTATTGGCCTATTTGGTTACCATTTTGCAAAAGCACCTACATCATTACCCTGATCTTGTGGATTACAGGCTTCAATCACCCATGAATTTCTTCCTCAGCATCTCTACTTCAGTGAAATACGAACCACATCTTGTATTGTTCCCATATGCTGGCAGGGCAGGCTTCCTGTCAGGGAGGAAGAGTATCTCAACTAGGGAGTGCTGTGCAAAGTACTAGTTCTACTTTCTCTCTGGGGGATGCACCAAGGTTGTTATTTTTGCTGTCATGCCCTACAACTGCTATGTGGTCATTTACAGTCC